AGGAGAGTGAATAAGGGCACCTGACGAGTGTGGAACTAAGGTGGACGCGATTTCCCCGCAGTCTGATGACGACGCAGTGAAATGTTATTCTTTTGTGTTCTGCACCAGCATCGCCTTCTGCACGTCCTCACATGCGTTGGCCACTTTAATTGTTCCACAACGTCTTAACCATCCCCATTCCTCCTCATTACAACAAATCGTGATTAAGGACATCAAACATACACACACACAAAGAACCACCGTGGGCACTTAATGAAATTTGAATGCGAGAAACTAATGCTGAGAGCCTCATGTAGTTTTAAAATTTAGTCATGAAGAGCTTTAATTTACTTACACCCCCCGCCTGTTCCAAAAGAGGGGAGCGCATTTGTGTGTGCGTCAAGTCGAGTGAACAAAACTCTCTGCCAGAAGAGGGCGTTCGAGGAAGGAGGTGGAAGACACCCATGATGGGAGAAAAAGTTGGGCTTTATGGAGTGCATTAGCTTGTGTCTCACGTTCTTTACTTCTATCCGCATTCTACGTCAAAAATAATTACAAATTTGTCTATTTCGCTAGGAGCATTTTGGCTTAATATGGGACCTTTTAATTAGGCTACTTGCAAAAGCACTCTGCATTCCTGCATAATTTATAAATGCTGAAAGGGAAAGCAGAGGTGGGCTAATTTTCATCGCTTTTTACCCCCTTCCTTTACATTGGTAGCCAAAAATATTCTAACGTACATTTTAACAAGAGTCTTCCTTAATGTTGCATAGCTGTCCACCCTCTTGGCTTCAGTGTGTTGGTTTCCAACGTAACGCGATGTCTCCGAGGCTCCTCCTCCTCCTTGTATGGGCTCCAACGGTGGATGCATGGGTGGGGGAGAATAGCGAGTGTGTGGCACTTTGGTGATGATTCTCGACTCATCCGAATTGGTCGCGGTGGAGGTGGCAGTGACGGTTGTGGTTCCCGTGGTGGTGGTGGTGGTTTGGGCTTTGTGCACTCGCATCCACACTCGGAAGATGATGGAGCAATAGCAGTAGGCCATGAAAATCAACGGTGTGGTGTACACCAGCAGAGTCACGACACCCAAGAAATACGCTCTGTCGGCCGTGACAGAGGGCCAAAACTCGCGACAGTTGATAATACCATCTGGTGCTTGAGAGAGCCGGAAATAGTAAGCCCAAGGAATGAAGAGGAGGGCAGAAACAATCCAAATTATCGCGATTATCTTCTTTGCTAGGCTGCGTCGTATGAGACGTCTCATGGGAAAGCATACGGCCAAGTAGCTGTTGAGTTAAAACAAGACAATGCAACAAAAGTTACCTTTTCTGGTGCTCAACTACGCTTTCCAATAGTCAGAGCGCTCACTTCGTTAGACCTTTTTAAGAAAAAATGGGTTGCTCCAACTGGATGAGTCCAATTGTTTGTTTTAGGGAAGGCGTTGGTGGGGGAAAAATTGAAAGCTCACAGGGTCGCCTTTACCGGTTGACAAATGCCCAAGTCATCACGCAAATCTTGGCACGAAACTGAAGTCGCCCTTTTCTGTGCTTTTGGAGCACGGAAGAAAAGCAAGAAGGGAAAGAGAGGGGGAGAGGAGGAGGAAGTAGTGATTCCGGCTATTTTTTTCGATTAGGCAA